ATTTTAGTCAGATATACGTTTTATTTGTATTTAGCACAACATACTGAATAAAATAAAGCATGTCCATTGATATCTAAAATGCATTAAGAGAAATAAAGTCCATTTTATTTATTTTTCTAGAAAATTTCCATAAATTTGCATTATACATAAAAAAAAAGTCAAATCAAATTTACAGGAAGGGATCTTCAAGGATGATCAGGTGGCGCCTCATCGCTCGGTGGAGCTCCAGAAAGACGAAGCACCAGAGATTGATTATCCGGAGCTTCAACACTTGGTGAAGCGCCAGAGGACGAAGGCAGAAGTTGCTGCTGGAGTAACGCCACAAACCTCTGATGATCACTCTGAATCCGAACTTCGGACTCCTGCAACTGGTCAAGCTTCCTCTTCATGCTTGTTGAGTAATTAGTTGCGAGCATGTGCAACTCTTTATTCTCGTGCCTAAACACTCTGACCTCTTGCCGAAGACTGACCACCTCAGCCATCAACGACTCAACCTGACGAGATCGAGCAAGAAGGCGTTGGCCCATGTTTGAAACTGAGCCTGCACATCGGACGCTGTAGGCCAGAGAGTCCTGAACAGCCAGCTCGTCGGACCGCCTGGAAAGTATCCTAGTTAGGAGTGAGAAGATTTCTGGCCACCACCGAAGCGGTTGTATCGTTCATCATCATAGAATCCCCAACTGTAAGAGGACCATTAGGAGATACGAAGGACGACTGCTAAATGTTGTTTAAAGAAGATATGTCATTATCTTCCCCGACATTCAAGTTAAGACGACGGTCAGAAGGGCAAGACATTTTCGAAGGTGTGAAGAAAAAGAAGAAGTCGGACAAATCAAGTTCTTAGAAGTGCAAGTAGGGAGCTTCTACAGGCGAAAAATTCAAGTGTGCTTTGGAATGTGATGCGTGCCTCTCTTTAAAAATCAGCACTCGATGGAGCTTCAGAAATTGAAGAGGCGAGTTCAGAAATCGAAGAGGCAAGCTAGAGACGTCTGCTTTCTCAAAAGCTAGGCTGCTCAGAAACCACGGGCCGATCTCAGAAATTGAAGAGGCACTTGCTTTTTTCAGACGTGTCATCACCTATCACATACATACTCAGTTTTGCGAAAATCACGGATAATTTGTCGAAGCGCCAATCTCAGATATCGAAGAGGCGCCAGTCTTTTTCAGCCTTATCAGCACCTGTCACATGCACACTCAGCTTTGCAGAAATTACGGGCAATTTGTCGAAGATTTCTGATAAAGAAGAAAGCATGTGAAGCCATACTGATCAATCACTCAATGGTTGCCACACGAGTGAAAGAATAGTACCTCTACAGGTATTAAGAACTTCCTATAACTGTCCACCTTCATCGTCCATAGCAAGGCAGACCTGCAAAAATGCCCAACCCTTCCTCATTTCCGAGAGTACACTCTCAGCAGAGCCTCTCGAAATACCCAGTTTTCTTCCTCTCCTGGAATACCTCTACAAACAAATGACACCAAAGCAAAAGTATCTCATATCACCAGGGTAGAAAGCAAGAGTATCTCATATCATGCTTTCTCCCTGTCCTTTCCTTTGTCCTTGTTCTTACCTGCAAAGACAAAGATAAAGAAAGCAATATGTCGGAACCTCCACTCAAACTCCGGGCAAGGAACCAACTACTTAGAACCTTTGCCTGGTTGCTTAACTGGCTTTGCTCTTGAGTACTCGTCTTCAGTTGCTGATGTACTTCCGAAGAAGATGCCATATTTGCCCGGAGAACAAATAAGGCAAGTGAAAATGATACCTTGAAGCATGTGGAGACAACGTGCTGATTTCCTTCAAGATTAAGTCTCCCCTTCCTCGCACAATCAACCAACCCAGCAGAAGGAGTCTGAGTTGAATCCAAGAGCTCGAAAAGTTTCAACAAACATATTGGCGGCCCCATCGTCGAAGAACAAAGCCTCGCTGTGCAACGCTGTCAAATCGCCACCACTTCTTCGAAAGCAAGAGTATTTCATATCATGCTTTATCCCTATTCTTTTCTTTGTCCTTGTTTTTACCTGTGGGACAAGGAGAAAGAAAGCAATCAGACAGCACTTGGTATCAATCTTCCGATCTGGAACCAACTGCTTGGAACCCTTCCCTAATTGCTTACCTAGCACTGCTCTCGAAGTACCCATTGTTTCAACATCTTATGCTTCTAGAGAAAATACCACATTTGCCTGAAGAACAGATAAGGCAAGGGAAAATGATACATTGAAGCATGTAGAGACAAGCACAACAAAGCACGTGCCGATTCATCCGCTACGTCTTCAAAATCAAAATTATCTCATATCATTAGGGTTGCAATCACTCTGGGTTAGGTGGACCTGTTTCGACCCTCAAATTCTTGGGTCGGCCCGCTAGGCGTTGTGAGCTGCACGTGCCGATTTACCACCCTTGAATCAAATCCTCAAAGATTAAGTCACCAACTGGAAGAAGCGCCCATCACTCTTGAAGATCATACTGTTGACCAAACTGCTCAGGGTTCATATGAAAATGCTGTGAACTTCCTTGATCTTTCAAAGCATGCATGTCCTGAAACTGCTCGTGGTCATGTTTAAGTTCGAGATTAAGCCTCGACAGCCCTTAAAGAAATTACAAGTCCAATTCAAGATCAAGTGTCCACTACCCTTGAATCAAATCCAGTTCAAGATTAAGTCTGTGGAAAGTCCCTTGGAGGAAACCAGAAATCCTCCAACCCAGTTCAAGAATAAGCCTGTGGAAAGTCAACAATTGGAGGAAACCAGAAAATCCTCCAAACCAGTTCAAGATCAAAGATGTGGAAAGTCAACAAGCGCAACAAAATACGTGCCGATTCACCCACTACCAAAGCAAAAGATCATCTACCACATGAAGCTCCTTGTGTCCAATATCAACCTTCAAGATCAAGCCTCAACGGCATTTGAAGAAATTTCAAACAAAGTTCAAGATCAAGCCCCAACGGCCCTTGAAGAAATCACCAACCAAGTTCAAGATCAAGCCTCAACGGCCGTTGGATCAACATTTGCAGTAAGGGACTTCAAAACGCATCTTCTACACGTGACAAGCACATGTATACGACGCGCCTTGAAGTGGGGGTATTTGTAGACATCGAAATTTCGGTAAAATAAATGTTAATCAATAATTAAAATTTCAACGTTTATGTGTCACATAAATTTTACACATAGCATGTGACTAAACGAAAAATCAAAATAAATCGGAAAAGTCATCAAACAGGACACGTGTCAACACCTGGCAGAAATGATTTATTTCATCTGATTATTTAAATCCAAAAAAATCAAGTTTTGGAATTCTATAAATAGGAGGCCAAGGCATTCATTTTTGGACAACCAATTCATAACCAATTCACCTTACACCACAACCTTGAAGCTTTGAAACTCCAAAGCTCCCAAGCAAATCCCGAATGATCAAGAAAGCTCTCTTCGTTCTTCGTCAAATCCTCATTCAAAAGCAAGCCCCAATGGTCCTTGAAGAACTTCCACTAATTCAAGATCAAGTCCTCCCCCACGGCCCTTGAATAAAGTGTTCATCATTCATCATTCGTTCATCCCTAGATCAAGCCCCGACGGCCCTTTGGATCAACGATGTCAACAAATCCGCACAACTGTTTATCCCAAGATCAAGCCCCGACAGCCCTTTGGATCAACAACATCAAATCCACCCATTACAAAGATAGAATCAGAGGCTAAATTTGTAGAAGAGATTGTAACCCCTAAATCATCAATACAAATATTATTTTGTACACGTGTTTCTTGTCTCGTTCATCGCAGGAATTTCCGTGTTTACAGATGGCTTGGGGTGGTGGAGATGACGGCTGAGGTTGGGGTAGGTGGCTGGGTAATTAGTTTTATGTTTAGTTTATTTTTTATTTAGTTATGATTTTAAAATTTTGAAAAAGAAAGATATTTTTTTCTCAAAAAATATAATTATTTTTCTTTTCTTTTTTGGTCCAGGTGGCGGCATCTCATTGGACTTGTGGGTCTCACATGTGTGCCATGTCAGTGCACTAACAAAATTGTGACAGAATTTTAACAGAATGACTATATTGATTTTTGAAAACAAATTTTAGGAAGGACATTGATTGATTTTCAAATTCAATGACCAAAATGAGGATTTATATCAATTTTAGAGACCATTTGTGATAAAAACCTTTACTTGAATTTTCAATGGCAATGAGAGGTTTTCAATTTGTTTTCCTTAAGCCTTGGCTCCAGCATCATTTCCTCTTCTCGAAGAAAACTCGTTCTCAAGTTTTATTTGAGTAAACTTCAAGTCAAATCGCAAAGTGTAGCAACCATTCTTTCCTGCAATGCTTTGTTTTCTTCCTCTAACTTACAAATAGATTTGTTGCATAGAAGGTAAGGAGGTTGGTCATCTATTGAGCTCGAATATATTATTAGGATACCCATAAAATGTATTAAAAGTTAAAACACTTGAACAATTCATTCCTTTCACTCAACCTCTTGATGAAAGTATGTATAAAATCCCACCAAATTGTGTTATGGAATTGAAACTCAGCAAAAGTTTGTGCTACCTTTATCCATACGTTGGTGATGATTTGTCATCTTGTGTGTCCAAATTTGAATGTCATCTCCAAATTTTACGATCGTGAACTTCATTGATGGACTTCATATTGCGTCCTTGATTAATCACTTCATCCAAATACTTGCTAGCATCATAAACATCACAATCATGGTTGAGAGAACGTGAATAACAAAGTGAAAAATGATTACCTAGAAGTGAGACCAAAGAAAATGAGACAAAATCAATTTCAGAAGATAAATTGAAATTGAATGACAGATTTATGAGCATTTCAATCAGTAAGCCTATAGAGTAAAAAAATAATCGTCGTTGAGACGTCATTGCTTTGGCCGGATTATGGCAACACAGGTGGAATTGCTCCTATGTGGCCAGACATTGAGGAGGAACCTATAGAGTAAAAAATATATATTTTTATTTTTTGCCAAAAATATTGAATTTAAAAAGAAGTTCGAAAACAGAAAAAGGAAAATGAAGAAGAAAAAGGTTTTGGCCAAATATAGACAGGAAGAAACAAAAAAAGGGGCAGGGTTTGAAGAACCCTAACACAAGCGGAGTTGGCGACAAAGCATACTGCTAGGCACCTCAGGCAAGTTTATATTTCACATCCAATTTTTCTGTCGTTCATATGCAAATCACTGCTAAAACCTCACTATAAACCCCCCAAAATATGATAACCCTGATTAACAAAAAGCTAATCTCACTCTCACTAACCTCTGACGGGCTTCACAAATCCCCTCTCTGCAACTCAATCTCACTCTTTTTCTACTCTTCGTCCCGACCCAAAAAGCGGATATCAAAACCCAAAATTGCAGTAGCTGAATACTTAATCAGCCAGCACCAGTTTTCCCCAGAAGCCGCTCTGAAAGCCGCATCAACAGTCGCTTATCTGAAAAGCCCTGCTGAATCCAGTTCGGTGATTTCGTTTCTCAGGGAAAGCGGCTTCTCGAAAACCCATCTGGAAGATGTGGTTAAAAGGGTCCCCAGGATTCTTATTGCCAATCCTGACATTGTCCTCAAACCCAAATTCAAGGTTTTCCAGGACTCGGGCTTTTCGGATTCCGACATTGTTGATATTGTGTCCTCTGACCCCTGGATTCTGTTGCGAAGTGCCGATAATCAGCTTGGCCCTGCTCTGTTGGTGCTGAAGAACATTCTCGGATCGAATGCTAGTGTGCTCAAGGTTTTAAAGTTGTCTGGGGGAGTTCTTAAATATGACTTGGAGAAGACATTGATGTCCAATGTTGAGGTCTTACAGAGTTATGGTATAAAATCGTCACAAATTATCAAATACATATTTCATTTTCCGAGATTTTTTGTGCATAAGCCGGAGAGCATTGTGGATGTTATTAAAAGGGTTGACGAAATGGGTTTCGATATGAAGTCCAAGAGGTTCCTATCAGCAATTCGGATCATGACTTCGCTCACTGTGGAGACATGGGAACGGAAGGTGAAGCTTTTCAAGAGTTTGGGCCTTTCAGAAGATGATATCTCGGCAGTGTTTAGGAGGGTACCCCAGGTGTTTGGAGTATCTGAGAAGAAGATTGAGGAGGTTACAGAGGTGCTTCTCAGCACTGGCAAGTATGATATCTCATTTATAGTTAATCACCCAGAATTGCTTATTTATAGCGTCGAGCACAGGCTGAAACCACGACTACAAGTTATGGAGATCCTCGAAAAGAAAAAACTACTTGGGAAAACACCTAATTTGACCACAATCTGCAAGTACTCTGAACAAAAGTTTGCTGAATTATATGTTGTTCCTTTTACAAATGAACTTGAAGGAAGAGTGCATGGAGTGGAAATCAATATCTCCTGATCGTTACTGAGGTATTTTCTTTTGTGCACTTCTGTTTCTTTCTTTCGTTCTTTGTAAGGATGAAACTTTCACATTAATGTGGTCTTCGATCAATGTCGTAACTGCTTCGTTTATGAAATTCTTTGAACTTTGAATTCGATGGGTGGAGTGACTAGCATTTCTGAAATTCTTTAAAATTTGAATGCAATATAAAGGAGTGACCATCGAACAAGTAATGATATTTGCTGCTGAAAGTTATGCTTAGTGCTCTTTTAGGCTCTAGGTTACCGATATCTTGACCTAAGGTTATTAGTTTCTGCTGTGTGTTTTGACTCTTACGGTTGCATATGTTTACTTTGGTCATCCTTGTTTGTATATTAGTGATCGTGATTTAAATAAATTTGTTTCCCAGATGGTGAGCGAGGTATTAACTCTTTGTTGCATTGCAGTCTACAAACTTATTGTTTAACAGTATGATCTCTAATCAAAGTACATGTAGTTTCATTGAGTTCATCTATCCAAGAGTGAATATTAAATTTCACTATAGAGGTTCTTTTTATAATACCTATGATGCTGATAGAAAGCCGATGATTAGGGGTTAATTGTAGGTCCCTATTTAGGACCATTTGAGCCTGTTGTTTGCCTCATTTTCACTTATATGGAAAAATCGACTTGATTGCAGTTGTAGTTGTAGTTGTATGTAATGCTGCTGTTAATTCCTCAGGTGATAACATATTGCAGAGCAACAGAAAACTCTGTTTGACACTAGGGAATGAATGTCAAAGCTTGTATACTTCTGTACTAAAAGGAAAGTGGTAAGGGATGCCAAGGAAAGACCCAATTTTTTAATCCCATGGGGGTAGCCAAGTGGTGAGGGAGGGTAGGTTAATGAACAAGGATTAAGATAGGTCATGAGTTTGACTCCTCCAGTTTATAACCGAAAAAAAAGGCAGTTCCTCTGAAGAGGAGATTTTCGGATGTTCCTGTTCTGATACCAATACAAGGACATGTGAAACTCAACTTTTAGTTAGATTGGACCATTCAAGTACTAGTTTTTTGAGTCCTAATTGCTTTTATTTTTACCAATATGGCCTAACGTATCCATCTTTACTACTTCAAAGTCAAACTCGTCTTTTAAGCTCATAGACCATCATAATAATTCAAACTGTTTCTATACCTCAAACATTTTGATGTAAATTAAACTTCATATGTCAAAGTTATCTAAAGCGGATGTGTTCCTCATATGCACCTGAGTTCAAATCCTTCTCACTATTTCGTTCAACTTTCACGGTTTCACCTATGTTTCAATATTTTATGAAAGGACAATATTAGGGTATGAATGTTGTTTACAGTGTGTTTGAGAATGATAGAGATATAGGAGGAATCATTGTGTTTATGGGTCTGTGACATCATCCATCTCTCACCTCACACTTTTTGAAATTCAACTTCTCCATCCATGTTCACTTCACCCTACATGTCTCAAATTCTCCATGATGCAGAAGATAAGCAAGGTCAACAAACATAGATAGTGCCTTTCAATTTCTCCATTATTTTTCGCAACTTTAGACTTGGGCTAGCTTGCTTGCCCGCCATGTTTATTGAACTTTTTTTTTTTAAATCTTAACTTATGGATTAAATGAACAGAAGACTATGAATTAGTTAAGTGAGCACAGTATTAATAGTATATGTGGGTTAGTCGATTTGACAAACACTGTGCTCGCTCCTTTGTACTCCAGTTTGAACTTGTTCATAGATTAGAGTGGTTAAGAATATCGCAGGATAATACAATATTATGAAAATCCATGTTAGCATGGTATTATGAAATCCAATTCCTTGCTTATTGAGGAGTATACATTGGGAAGTTTATACTATGTTTTATTGTATGACATGCGCTGGAATAATGAAGGAATAATGAAGGATTAAATGCGTGGTCAAAGGTCCAATGAACAATAATTTAACGACCATAACTCTCTATATCATTTAAGGGAGTTGCAATGGCTTTGACTGCATTTCTAATTTTAGTGTTTGTGGCTTGCAATTTAAACAAGAGATGCAGAGTTTAGTAGGTTAAGTGAGGAGATACAGACAATGTACTTTTTCATAAGAGTTTAGTACCTCAGAACGAAATGTCAAAATTCTAGGTGTAATATCATTGTGCATATTTGACCTCAAAAATCTTTCTAAACGAAGTGTTATTTACCAACTAGATGTAAAAGCTTTGTGATTAGGAGTAATTTGACATCAATGTCAACTTTATTTTTAATTAATTTTAATGGTGGATCCCTTATTTCACTAATATTTCAACGAATAAAAATTTTGTTTCAACATTTTTTAAATAATTACAAGCATTTTAAACTCTATTTTAATAAGTAAATAACATTTGACAATTCGGTAGGAGAAGTACAAAATTTGATATAAGATTTCAGATTGTCACATCAGCTATCAATTTGAATTGGACTGTTATAATTTGACATATCCTTTTGAGATAGTTTAAGGGTTGGTTTGAGATTGTGATGCTTTTAAAAAAAAAATAACTTATTAAAAAAGTTAGAACTTAAATGAGTTTGGTAAAATAAAAAATAAAATGTGTTTTTTTTTAAACTACAATAAAAGTATAAAAGTAGAAAAGCAGAAGTCTAAAGCATAATAATCAATTCTCATTTAATGAAATTTCAAATGGCAAGTATACCCTTACATGTTTTATAAAATTACAATTTTTGCACCTACATTATTGTCTTTGAGAATTATTATATTACATTAAGTACTATATGTAACAACTCGTCCCTAAAAATTTTGATTTTTATAATTTTAATAAGTGAGTTTACAAAAATGCCCTTTGAGGCAAAGTTTTGAGTTTTGTTGATTGTCGTGTCGTGTAAAGTAAGGTTTATTTTCTTGGCATATTATCATAGTACTCGTCGCTATGAACGCGTGGGCGCAAACAGAGCACAATTTGGAGTTATAACGAAAGAAATATTAACGTTTAAAGTTGATGGCAAAATTGTAAATTAATATTGTCTAGAAAACTCCAAATTTCTGGAGCCAAATCAAGATGGCCACGTGTTTGCCCTAGATTTAAAGAGAGAAGGAATGGGCAGTGTAAATGGGAAAATTATACGGGTTTTACGGTGAGGGGTTATTATTTTTTAAAAGAGAAATGGTTTTTGAAAAGTTTTGTTTTTACCCACTCACATTTTCTGTTTTGCGCCCCTCCGGGTTCTAGTAGCAACGTTTCTGTATTGACGAGGATTTGCGGCATATCCCAATACCGGTGGCTTCCTATGATGGTATAATCCTTATCTTACCTTACTATACTTTACTTATGCTCTAACATCGCGTGTGAAATGGGTTCATGCCCGCTCATCGCACACTCGTGTACTTAGGCACTTTTAGGATTAAATTTATTCACATTTTCCACATTATCACACTTTATGGCTTCGTCACCTTCTGGGTGTCAGCCAACACGGCTCGATTTGGAGTCCTAGTGGACTTTCCGGGTCGGGGTGTGTCAGTTTGGTATCAGAGCATAAGTTGGGCAGTATTGCATTCATCACACGCATGATGTAAGCATTCTTGGTTTTTGAACCTAAATGTCGAATCTTGCCACCTCGTTGAATACGAAAAATGTGTTAGTTTTCCCTAAGTTTTGGGTAGTTTTGTCGACTTGTCGACATTTTAGAAGATCATTTTGGCGAATGTCCTTAGAATAGAGCGAAGAAATTCCTTGCTAAGGAAAGATATAGAGTTGAGGCAAGTTGATGGCCTAGGTTAATGTATCGATAACCGTGTATTATCGGAGACTTTACCAACCAATTCCATCACTATTCTCCAACCATCAGTATTGATCCTTTTGAGATTGGAAATCCAAGCTAGTTTTGATTCCTTGGCAGTATCTATTAGAATTTCACATATTAGAATTCTTGCGAAGTCTACTTTTGTTAAAACTCTAGAAATGTTTCATGTGACGATGTGGTGCTGAAGTGGTAGCACTCGATGGAAGAATATCTTGGGAAAATTTCTTTTGGTCCCTGATAGCTCTAATACTTTTGTGATGTTGCTTTTCGATCCTGAAGAAACCTTGTTAGCTCATTCTTAAATTCTACCTTTCTACTTTTGGCCTGAGACAACATCGGAATTGTTTAGTCCTTCATCATAATTCATCATTTTTGGAATTGTTCGACTCTTTGATAATTAGTCTGCATCAGCTCTGTCCGTACACTCAGTTTCATCTCCTGGTATTAAAGATATTTTAGTTGATTTTGAGTCATTTTGTTTCCATGTCATTTCCAATGCTAACAGACTGTCCAGGAGGACCCCTTAGGCGTCGAAACTTTTAGTTTAGACTATCAGTCCTTAAATCACCTAACCAACATTCTATCGAGCAAATCGTTGCCATTGGTAATTTATTATTCTTGGAGCTATCGTTGTAACAAACTGTTGTGAATTTTGAGTCAAGGGAAAAATCTAAGTTTCCGTCTGTCAAGCCTCTTTAAACTATTGTTCAAGTTGAGCCATCTTCCAACCTTTTCGTTGCTAGTGCATGATGCTGTTAGACATTTACATGAGTTCAGACCTCGAAATTGTATATTCAATCTAGATATCTTGTACTCTACATTTCATGAACTTGTTTGATTTTCAAATTCTTGAGAGTTCTATTAGCCTTATTGATAGGGTTTCTCGCTCAATCAGTGAGGAATTCACGATAGGTCGACTCGGCAAATGTGTGCGCTAGTTTCATATCGGTGCTAGCAGGAACCATTGAAGTATAATCTTCTTGCGAGATTACCAGATTTATCAAAAAGAATTCCAAACGGCTTTGAGGATTGAGCAGTATTTTAGTATGGTATTGGTGAAGGATCTTATTGTTGTGGTAACGTGAACGTCGAAACACTTCTAGCAGCTGGTTTGGTGTGCTCTAGAATAGTACGATATCGTAATCGAGGCATGAATCGGATGATTTAAGCATATTCGCACATGAAGAGCAAAACAATATTTTGGCATCTTCAGGAACTTCTCACTAGCTTATCGAGACAATAATGAGTTATCAGTATTACAGGCTGTAAACTGTAATATCAACGGCTTAATTGTTGGGTTCATTAAGCAAGTGGGTAATACTGATCATCTACAGTAACACTTATTAGTTAGCTATGGTTTGGACTCATTTTTGAAGTTCGTGACACGACAAATGTTTGGCGAGGTCCATTTTCATTTTGGGTTTTGATTTTTCATACAAATATTTTCTCACTACATTATTTTATACAGGTACACAACTATATTATCGAGGAAGGAAGAAAGTATGAGCTTGAAGGCATGAAAGAGGAATAATTGCAATCCGATCGCAACAAAATGGTTTCATGCAGCCGCTCTAACTCAATTTCTTCCTTATGTATGTATTTACATACATATTTTCTCACCTAGTTTCGAGTATTTTACTTTTAGCAAGTTATTTTAAAATTTCGGGCACGAAATGTTTTTAAGGAGGGTAGATTGTAACAGCCCGTCCTTAAAAATTATGATTTTTATAATGTTAATAAGTGAGTTTACAAAAATGCCCTTTGAGGTAAAGTGTTGACTTTTGTTGACTATCGTGTCGTGTTACGTAAGGTTTATTTTCTTGGCGTATTCTAGTAGTACTCATCGCTACGAACGCGTGGGCGCAAACAGAGCGCAATTTGGAGTTATAACGAAGGAGATATTAACTTTTAAAGTTAAGGGCAAAATTGTAAATTAATATTTTCTAGAAAACTCCAGATTTCTGGAGCTAAATCAGGAAGCCCACGTGTGTGACCCAGATTTAAAGGGAGAAGGAATGGGTGGTGTAGATGGGAAAATTATACGGGTTTTACGGTGATGGGTTATTATTTTTGAAAAGAGAAATGGTTTTTGAAAAGCTTTGTTTTTGCCCACTCACATTTTCTGTTTTGCGCCCTTCCAGGTTCTAGTAGCAGAGTTTCTATATTGACGAGGATTCGTGGCATATCCCAGTACTGGTGGCTTCCTATGATGGTATAATCTTTATCTTACCTTATTGTATTTTACTTATGCTCTAACATTGCGTGTGAAATGGATCCATACCAGCTCACCGCGCACTCATGTACTTAGGCACTTTTAGGATTAAATTTATTCACATTATCCACATCATCACACTTTATGGCTTCGTCACCTTCCGGGTGTTGGCCAGCACAGCTCGATTCGGAGTCCTAGTGGACTTTCCAGGTCAGGGTGCGTCACTATATCTTTTTTTAGTCATTTAACATATTTAAAACAATTAATATAAAAGTTTACCACATTCAAACACTCCTTTTTTATTATTATTAAAAGCATTTTTACAAAAAAAAAGTTTACCAAACACCAATAACTTTATTACAGCTATTTATTCTCAGAGCACAGCAAAAACAATTTTATAAAATAACACAACAATACCAAATTAGCTTAAGTAGTTTCTGTTGTACCAACAATAAGATATTTACAAAGATTTTAAAAATTAATTTATAGTGTCACAAATGGACTATTTGCAACTTGGTGTTTTTTTTTTTAATTGAACAAACAATATTATCTACACTAAGGATGACGGGTTAGGCTAAATCTCATAATGAGCTAGCAATAACATGGTTCAAATTCTCCTTAGGCAAAAATCGAACTTAAGACCTCTCACTTGCAAATGAAAAGAAATACCACTATATCTTATGTAACATCCCACATCGCCCAGGGGAGTGATCCTTAAATGTATATTCTCATCCCTACTTAGCACGAAGTCTTTTGAGAGCTCATTGGCTTCGGGTTTCATAGGAACTCTGAAGTTAAGCGAGATGGAGGCCAGAGCACTCCCATGATGGGTGATCCACTGGGAAGTTGCTCGTGAGTTCCCAAAAACAAAACCGTGAGGGAATGGTAAGCCTAAAGCGGACAATATCGTGCTACGGTGGTGGAGCGGGCTCGGGATAAGGTGGACCCAGGTTGGGATGTGACAAATGGTATCAAAGCCAATCCCTGACTGGATGTGTGCCGACGAGGACGTCGGGCCCCTAAGAGAGGTGTATTGTAACATCGCACATTGCCCAGAGGAGTGATCCTTAAATGTATATTCTCATCCCTACCTAGCACGAGGCTTTTTGGGAACTTACTGGCTTCGGATTACGTAGGAACTCCGAAGTTAAGTAAGAAGGAGGCCAGAGCACTCCCATGATGGGTGACCCACTGGGAAGTTGCTCGTGAGTTCCAAAAAACAAAACCGTAAGGGAATGGTATGCCCAAAGCGGACAATATCGTGCTATGGTGGTGGAGCGGGCCCGAGATAAGATGGACCTGGGCCGGGATGTGACATCTTAGTACTAAGTGACCGTAACTTTGTATTAAATTCAAGTCAAACTTCGAAACTTACTTCAATCAAGTGGAGACAAATATTAATTCACCAAAAGCCAATTGATCGGCTTCTATGTACGTTAAGTGGTGCTACATTTTCTTACTACTCTTGCCTTGCATCCTGATTATAAAATTTACATTCGGTTTGTGATCTTTCATGTGTGATCAATTAAGTCAAATACGGTGTGGATAATGTCTATGCATTCTAGTGCAGATTTGAACTCCATCAATTATTTTTCCTTCTAACAACTAACAATTTAACCTATTAACACTATTGTTTGTAATATATATATATACTTGTGGTGTGGACAATTCCACCACTACTGATTGACCCGACTGACTAATCTCCCAGGCACAAAGCTAGCCTAATTGGGACTCACAAGATGGCTCATCAAAGGCCTTAATCTGCTAACAATTTTTTTAGAAATCACTATATATATATATATATAATTTACATTTGATTTGTGATCTCTCATGTGTGATTAGTTAAGTCAAATACGGTGTGGATAATGTCTATGCATTTTGGTGCTTTGAACTCCATCAATTATTTTCCCTCCTAACAACTAACAATTTAACCTATTAACACTATCTATTTGTAAAAAAAAAAAAAATGTGTGTGGACTAGTTATGGTGGGCGACTTAAACTATAAGTGGTTTAGTTTTTCTCTACGAACCTATGTTAAGACTCGAATATCCAACTCAAAATCAACTAATATCAAATCAATAGAGAGGTGAGAAATGCTAAGGAGACTCTCCACCACTTCATCATTTTGGCACAATATTTATGATGTTAAATTGAATCCCGAAAAGATGTGGAGAGCTCATAGAAAGTTACACTTTTCAGAGTTTTTATATAATTGTTCAAGGCCTTGGGATTAATGATGTATCATGTAAGATTTTATACTCTTTTCATCATGACATAGAGTGAGATTTTTTTCGGCTTAGACATGCATGGAAGGCCCCAAATAAAAGTAAAGTCCAATCCTAATTCCTAAGGCAAGTTGTTGTTAGAGGGGTCATATTTTTTCCAAGCTCTCAAGTACATTTCTCCCTCACTTCATCATGACATCCACACTTTGCTTAATCCCATTCCTCTTTTTTATGATGAACTCTGCGGATCCCATCCCTTATTTTCTAGGCTTTCGATCTGCTTTTCACAACCCCCTTGGGCTTATTAGTATAAGCAAATTCAGTTAAACAATGCATTGCTCATATTCTAACAACTCACCAGCCGCCACTACATCTTGTGTTTGGCTATAGAGAGTTGGAAAGAGAGAGAAAGGATAGAAAATTAGAATTTAAAATGTAAGTTTAGTAATTTCTCTCACATATTTTGGAAGATTAAGAAGCAATCTTTAACTTATAAATGATATTTAAATTTTCTTATTCATGCGCTATTCAATGAGTAAAAAGGGTAGCATATTGTTTTTAGCTAAATTGATTACATACTGTTTTTAGCTAAATTGACTACGTTTTGCAAATGTTTATCTAAATTTGATTGATATTTTCTTTTCATTTCTATCACTTACCTATTATCTCTTGGAATTTCTCAAAGGAATCAATCTCTTTATCTGTCACTTATCGTTTAACACAGTATAAATTTTCGCATTATATTTGTCATGAGATATCTTTATAGATGTGTCAAATTATGATTTGCAGGTGAACAAGTCAAAGGAACCACGAAGCAATGTTCGTTATTATGCCTAATGGTAGTTAAACCAAGTGATTTGTATGAAATGATATGCAACCTGAATCACTAAGCAATTATTTATAAATCCCATCAAGATGAGAGGGTGTAAAATCACTAGGAATGACTTAAGAAGACCCCCAAAATTCTTGTGGGGTTCAATTCAATTGAAGAGAAGTGGTTTGGTAGTTGTTCACTTGCTTTGTGGGCACTAGCAATGCAATGGAGGAGGAGAGCATGGGTCACAAGTTGGTGGTATGATTTGATCATCAAACAAGGCTCGTGGCCTTTTACTTTCCCATGCACCTTTCTTCTAAAAAGCTTAAACATGTTTTGGAAGCATAGAGAAAAGTAAAGGCTATGAAAGAAGCAATGTCTTGTGACCCTGTGACCCCATTTCAAAGGGTGCAAAAAGTAGTGTCACAACAAATGTCAAACAGATGTTGAAGAGTGCCAAGTAGGGGTGGGCATTTTCCGGAGGATCGAAATCGAACTTGGATTGAACCGGAAAAAAACCTTTCGGTTTGATTCTTTTTTGCTGATTTCGGTACAGGTGCGAAAAATCGAACTTGTTCTATATAAATTAGTTTGGTATCGGTTCTATGTTTATTATCGAACCATACCGTGCCCAGGCTTAATGCGAAGGGAAAATTTTGATGACTGTCTAGTATCAATTTACAAGACTTGATACATTTCCGTTACTTTATTTATATTTATTAAAGAGTGTTAAAAGAAAAAATATTAATTGTTATGGGATATCGGTTTATAGTATTTTATACAGTCTTTTAATACTTTGTCAATACTTATTACAATTGAATTGATATTTGGCCAGTGTTTGGTAATATAGACGACTAATCTCTCAAATATTATTAATGTATTAAATATTGTAGATTATTAGTCGATATCCAGTCAATTACTGCGGGAAAAAAAAAGAGTAGGGAAAGGAAAACACAAAAGAAAGTTAGAGAGGTTAAATACATCAAATAAAGGCAAAAGCAGAGGAAAGCTGTCAAACTCTCTCACCTTTCTTTTAAAAGCCAATCCAAAACACACATCAAAAACCCAAAAACACACAATTTCAGCAAGAGAGCAGAGCAGAGCACATGATCTAAGCAACAAACAGTCAAAAGATGAAGGGAAGGGAAGCCAAAGGAGCACTCTCAGCTGATCTCTTGGTATGTTTTCCTTCAAGAACCAATCTAAAACTCATGCCAAAGCCAATTTGCAGTCCCGCGAGGCCCTCGGAGCCCAACAACCGCCACCACCACCATCCCCACCACCACCAACAGCTCGTGAAAAAATCGAGCATTGGGAAAAGTGGTCTTGGCCACGCCAGTCCTCTGCTGTGGAAAAAGACTAAGCACGCGGACCCAGAGAACTCCGAGCCCACCTCCCCAAAAGTCACCTGTGCCGGACAAATCAAAGTCCGGCACAGGTCTGGCTCATGCAAAAGCTGGCAAACAGTGATGGAAGAGATAGAGAGAATTCACAACAAAAAACAGAGGAAACAGAAGAGGCCCAATTGGGCTGAGGCTCTTGGGTTCAAGAAAGAAGTCATGCAATTCTTGACTTGCTTGCGAAGCATGAGGTTCGATTTTCGGTGTTTCGGTTCTTTTCCTCACGAATCCGGTATTACTTCCGAGGACGAAGAAGAGGAGGAAGAAGAGAACATAGACCGTCGAGAAAACCATGTGGGTGGTGAGGGAATTAGTGACGGTGGTGACCAGAGTAGCTCAAGCACTGTGTTTTCGAAGTGGTTTATGGTTTTACAGGAAAATCAGAGTAATGGGTTTTGTAAAGAGGACAAGAAAAAGAGAAACTGTACGCCAAATTTCGATGATGATGTCGGAATTGGATCAACTTCCGAAGCTCCGGCAGCGGCCGTTCCGCCGCCGAATGCTCTGTTGCTAATGAGGTGCAGGTCCGCCCCTACAAAAACATGGCTGGAAGAGAAAGAAGAAAAAGATGACGAGGAGGAGGAGGACGACGACGAAGATGAAGAGAAAGAAGGAGAAAATGGAATGGAGAAAGAGGAGAAAAAAGCAAAAGTTACGCTGAGGAGTTTAATCGAGGAAGACAAGCAGAACAAAAAGATGGAGAAGTTGGTGGTGATGGCATATGATTCTGATTTCTACAACATTTCATCAGACATTGCAAAGGAGACGTGGGTTGTTGGTGGATTGAAGGAAGCAATTTCCAGGAGTCGAAGTTGGAAGAGATGATGTTTTTTTTTTTTTTAATTTTTAATCTCCTGCTTTGATTTGTTTTTAAGTTTATTTTTGTGAGCTGTTTTGTCCACTGAATTATTCAGTGGGAAACTGGTCAATCCAAAGCTCCTTTAGTATTACTTTTGCTTCATTCTTGTTGTTCTAGAGTAGTACATGTCCAGCTTTTCTCTTTCTTTTTTGCTGCAAAAGGGTTTTGCCAGAATTTTACATTTTCGTCATGTATATCTTTTGCTTCAGAAATTAGAAATAGAAACTATTTGTGATTTTTAATTTTACACTACACGCTGGTGCAGGATACACTGCAGTTTAAACGGCTAGATTAATATTGTCAAATTTCAGCCGTTAAATATATCAGCTCAAATATCGATGCACTGTAAAATTTAGAATTTCAGGGAATTAAGTGCAAAACATGTGTGTGTGTGTGTGGACATACTGGTGAGTGTTGAACCAAGGGGAATGTTCCAAGTAGAAAAAGGACTGAGATTTAGTCAGAATTGTAGGACCAAGAAACATGACATATTATATCAACCAGCGACTCTTGAGTAACTGTAGAGGGATTCTCAGAGCAGCACCTTCCTCATGTGGAGTATGATCGCTCTACCAAAACTCCAAACATAGTATGAACGAAAAGATAAGCTTCAAATGGATTCCTAACTGCTCATTTGGAGAGAGAATTGATGTCATTTTGTCACTTTTTCTATGCATGCAAGTAAGTTTTATCTAAACATAAATGGGTCTACAATGTGATTAATAAGTTTGTCTAGATTGTTATCTTTTGACGATTACGTGTATGTCATCCATATGTCCTAAAGTTTATCACGATTGCTACGTTTTTATCACTCTTCTTAAATGCATATTGTTTTTTGTTTCATTGTTATTACCTTGTATTTGCATGTGCTCTAATATTCTAATGGATGAGGCGTTGGGTTTTTACCTATGCGTTCCGAGTTTGAAACTCTCCCTCCCTTAAAGTAGTGTAATAATTTTGAATCCTATCCCCTCCCCTTAGTATTAAAAAAAAAATTGTTATTACCTTATAGGCCTTTTCTTTAGTAAAATAAGTCATATCTTAATAGATAAGCATTCTATAATGTAATTGTTGGAAAATATTAGTACGTAGGTTTATTTTAGTATTTGGGTTTTACTTGTTAGTTTAGGATTTGGGCCTATCCCATATGAGTTAGGGTTTCTTAGGTTTAGTTCTCTATAAATATTGATTATAATTTATTTTGAAAATTAAGTCATTCACAATGTAGTTTCTTAGGGTTTTGTAGCCTTTTTGACATTCTCATTTGTTTAATAATATTTTTCTTTTGTTAGTTTTATCGTTGCGCACTCTGATATTCAACTTGGTATCAGAGCGAGTTCGATCCTTAGGGTTCAATATGTTCTCGTTGGTATCAATTTGTTTGCCTTTGTCGTCGTTTGTTTTAGATTTGTTAGTTGGTATTGATTGTTTGCAAGGAAAAGAAAAATGAAAGAAAAAAAAAAGTTTTGCTTGTAGAGGAGAAGATCCCCCGACAAATAAAAAAAGGGGACGAAGGAGAAAAGAAGGCAAAAAAAAAAAAAAAAAAAAGGAACCACGGAAAGGAAGAAGGAAGAAAAAAAAGGGCAAAAAAAAGAAAGGAAAAAAAAATATGGTTGTTTTGTGGCACATGTATTCTTGCATTGGGCATGGTAGCTTGAACTTGGAATGGAAATCTGGCATCGGCATCAGCATCGGTATTGGCATTGGCATCGGCATCGGCATTGAAATTTGGAGTTTTGCATCCACATCTACTTTGGCAAACCCATGTCGTGTACTGCCATGAGTTTGACAGGGGGTGTTGGAAAATATTAGTATTTAGGTTTATTTTAGTATTTGGATTTTGCTTGTTAGTTTAGGATTTGGGCCTAGAGCATCCGATTTAGGGTTTCTTAGTTTTAGTTCTCTATAAATATTGATTTTAATTTAGTTTGAGAATTAAGTCATTCACAATATAGTCTCTTAGAGTTGTGTAGCCGTTTCGGCATTCTCGTTTGTTTAATAATATTCTTATTTTGTTAGTCTTATTTTGTTTTGTGTCCTATCTTATTGTTATACTTTTCCAATCTTTCTATATGCATGTTTTCCATTTGCCCCAAATTTGTCTTCATGATTACTTGTTTGCCAATCTTCACAAATGCGTATCATCCATTTATCAGATGTTATTTACTCTTAGACCTCATCTTTAGTATAAGTGATTTCAAACTTAATAAAAATTTTAGCCTGAATGATTACATTTTGGTCACTCTTGCTCTGAGTTCAAATCTCCTACACCCAAAATCTTTTGTAACTTGTATCATTGAATGACACATGTCATTTTTGTATAGTTTATCTTTAATATTTTAAAGAATGGTCATGTGTTAACAAATAAGATAGGTCACAAAAAGACTACAGAAAAGTTTGAGTGCAGAAGATTTGAACTCTCTTGCTGCATGCATATTATCCATTTTTTTCATGTTTTTAACTAGTACAATAAACCCCAAAAATAAAACTCAGTCAAAATGTTGCCTATATTGGGACGAAGCCAAAATTTGTGGCTAAATCTCTATGTATCAGGTCCAGATCACAATGAAGACCCATAAGTGAAATTCAAAGAAACAGTTGGACCGCGAGCCCAATTGGAGGTCATAGCCTAACTTGGTGCAATTAGTAGTGCAACAACGTAAGTTGTATTTAATTGTGTCATGGACTTTACATTCTTCAAAGAACACACATTTGTGAAACCCTTGACAAAATAAAATGTTCCAAATAACACACATTTTTTCAGTTGTATAAGAGCAATCATATGATTGATCAACTACAATCACTGTTAGGGTTCAAAATTTTCACCTAAAAGCCTAATTATATTCGGAAGCCTAGTCATTATATTTTCATAGCAAACCAAACTCAAATTCAAGCGTAAAGTGCAAAGGGTATGCAAATTCACAATCAGCCATGCCAAAAAAAAAAAAAAATTCATAATATGGACAGTCAATAAATTTACGCTAAACTCATACAAAACCACATGTATTCATCATGTCTATATCGAAACAGGTTTATAATATTAATACATTAACATTTTAATTCGAATCACGCCAAGTTACTCTTCACCCAACACGCTTAACTGGCCCAATCCACATAATGGGACTTGCCGTGTGGGTTATAGAGTAGACGAGTTATGAAAGTCCATTGGGTCTGTATAGAATTAAAGCTTGTGAATGTTTTGGGCTGCTTGGGAGCATCAAAGTCCAAGCCCACAACTTTAATTTCATGTTGGAAGGATGTGAGACATAATTTCTTACCCTTTCCTTACAAACCAACTAAAAGACTTCAAACCCAAGCATATTCAAAACCCACTTTCCCTAGATTCATGCGTTGAAATAATCCAACCTTGAACCGCACACCTCGTTTTAACGTGCAAGAAGAAACTTACCAATTTAAGCTCGCATAGGAAACCAAGAGAGAAAATGGAGAAGAAGCGTAGCCAAAGATTGAGTTTTGCTATGAGATTTGGTGCACGAAAGGAGGGATTATGAGCAGAACGCACGAGGCTACCAACACTCTACACTACAAATCCAAAGAGGCATTATGTGGCTGCAACAATGGAAAAAAAGAAGGAAACTTGAACGAAAAGCACCAAATACTATTCACTTTAACGAAAAACCACATTTTTACACTAAAAAGTCAATTCTGGTACTATTCACTTTACCCTTTATTTTGTCCTTATCATTAAAACTCAAAGTTTTCAAGCCATTTTCATTAGTTTTCCTAAAAAAGAAGGGAATGCTTAACAACACACGAAAAAGAAAGAAAACCAAGGATTCTCAAGCTGGGACTTTGAGGAACTCCTGCGCCTATAAATTCAAGCCATTAGCCCGCTTGGAAGGCATAACGCACCAAGCAGAGCAAGCGAACTCTAAGTGCTGTAAAACCCTAATTCATGAGCCTTGGCATTTCTTTTATTCTGATATTTTCCATAAGCCTCCCTTATCCCTCAAAATTACCAACCCAGAAACCTTGATTCGCCACTTCAAAATCAACCACCATCAACGATATATCTCTCACGCCAAACTATTGGACTTTTAGCTCCCAACACATCATTCAGGCAATTCATAATTTGTTGTACAATCATTGCTAATAGGAGCTGTTGATTTATTTAAAAGTTGTTACCAAACAAGTTTTCATTATTCATTTTTAAAAAAAAAACAAAAAACAAAAAACTGAAAGTATTGACCATGCAAGTTTTCAATTTTTTGTTTAAAGAAAAAGAAAAAGGAATGAAATAGTTATCAATAGGTCCTTAGACCATCTCCAACTATTGGACTAAAACCTAAAACTTTTAGCCAAGAAACAACCTTTTTGTTCTAACCTTTCAGGCCTAAATTTTTTAGCTTGAGATTATTAAAGAATAAATTTAGGCTAATTTTTTCTTTTAAAGTAATTAAAAAAAATTATATACACTATCATAATTTAATTTTATGAACATTTTAACCTAAAAATATTTAAATTCCAATAAATATCAAAAAATCACTAAATTTGGGTGAATTTTGAGGTAAATATATTTTTTTAATTATTTTAGCTGTTGAATTTAAATTTGAGCCATTAGATTTTTTTTTTTACCATTAGATTTGATTATAGGGAACTTTAACGAAAAGCTCTCGGTACTGTTCACTTTAATGAAAAACCACATTTTTACACTAAAAAGTTAATCATGGTACCATTCACTTTATCCTTTATTTTGTCCTTATCGTTACTCAGAGTTTTCAAGCTCTTTTCATTAGTTTTCCTTTGATTATATTCGATCTCAATTGTTCGATTCAATAAATCCTGGGAGAGATGCCCATGTGGGTGGGTTCCCGCTAGTGGTGCCCACATCATTTTCTGGGCTAAATCTTGGGGGGGGAATTTGGCTTTTGTTTGGTTTTTAGCTTTTAGCCCACACATTTAGCATGGGTTGGGTTTTAGGGGGGGGAATAAAACCTAAAAAATAGCATTTAGCCAGGGTTGGGTTTGGTCTTAAAAAGTGAAAAGTGAAATGAAATGGTCATCAAAAATTCCCTAAGTTCTGCCACTTAGTACTACAGGTTAGTGATATTCCTCTTCACTTGTAAGTGAGAGGTCTTAGGTTCGATCTCGTCAAAGACGATTTGCTAGCCCATTGTGAGGCTTAGCCCACATCCCCATCCTATTAGTGTAAATAATACCATTTGTGCAAAAAAATAATAATAATAAATTCCCTAAGCTCTGATCAAACAAAAAGA